AGAACTAGCTGGAGAGATAGTAAGTAGCTCACCACCAATTACTACCCGTGTGAGAATTGGGTCTGTTGGCATGCAGATGTGTGGCCACCTTAAAGATGCTTCGCATCTCAGCCTCTTGACCATTATCTATACAATAGATTTCACATTTTATCGAGCGTAATTTTGTGCTGCCTAACTCTAACGATTTCACCCAGGCCAAAATTAAAGCTTACACAACGATATTTACAAGAATAATGGACGCATAATTGGAGCACTAGGAAGACTACAAGGATAATAAAAATTCGCCTAAGAAATGGCAGCGGGTATGGCAATCTGTCATCAGTTGCTTCTTTGATTCTGAGTGCCGTCCAAAACTTTAAAAGTCAATGAAACCGATTTAAAATAGCAAAAAAGACGTGAAATCGTAAAATCGAAAAATGGCCAGAGGTGAAACAGTTTTTATCTCTTAGTCTGAAAAATTTAGAAATGTCGTTGGATGTTGTAGTTGTCCCGGGAATGGCAATTTACCTGTAATTGCTCACAAGTCAAAGCAGTTGACATTTGCTATAGCTGACCATAACCACACCAGTCAAATGTCCCAATAAATGTGAAAAGAATGCAACGAGTTCCTTATGATTAATGCCACCTTGAACACAGCCCATTTGCAAGCCCAAAAGTTCCACGAAGGACGGAAAATGCCGCATTCGCAAAATACGGCAAAATCGTCCATTACAAAAGCGTAGACAATGCCGCTATTCCTTTCAGCACCTTGTGTTGAAATATTAGAAGGGCCAAGTACCATTATTAAATAGATTAACGACATTCCATTTATATCTTTACTTTAACGGTCTGGTTTCAAACCGTTGAGCAAATTTAATGGGCAAGTGAGTTCACAGCGAGTCCAGGTGGTGCGGATTTGCGAATGTGAATTGTGGGCACGAAGGATGAGGCCAGTCTGATACATCATGTACTTAGTAATCAACTTTTATTATTTTTTTGGCAGTCTTGCCTTTTAGATGGGAAAATCATTCCTCGTATCTGTACACGACGAAAGCGATTAGCACATCGCATTTTCGCAAAAGTCCTGGTCCCTGAGGCATGGGGTGCAGTGTTTGTTTACGGATTCCGCAAATCGGACCAAGCCATGCCAAATACGTAATTTATTCGTGCAGAGCTGGTGCAATAAATCACAGGACATTGGCTCGAATTTACACCGCCAAATAGTAAAAAAAAAAGGATTTTCGAACTTTTCAATTTCTTATGAAGGCCGCATAGTTGTCAAAATATAGTCACATTTGATCAACATTGGAAGAACTTTTGCTTTAAAAAAAATCACATCCTACTTGATGTTTTAATAATTACACACAAAGTGCGTACAGGTATCAAGTTTCAGAACATCAAAATATGACAAAATCCTTACACAGAAAGCATTAAGACAGCCTTCTTATAGTTCGCAGTTCCGCAACTTCGCAAAAGGGATAAGTTAAGGATGTGTGGTATCAGTACTATGCAGCTCTTTAGTTTCTTTTTCAAATTCGCCTAAATTGTTGAATATCTCAAGCTCCATCGCAATGCTTCTGCTGAGCAAAGAGTAAGTCTTCTTACGTCTTTGGGAAGACTTAGAGAAGTTGCGTTGTTGGCGGTGGATTGTATGCGATCCGCCCAAATTTTCAGTGATGGATGAGATAAATCACGGTGGTGGAAGAAACGTATAGGCGGTAGATGGGCTGAATATGACGCATTTTGTAGTAACTACCTCACTTTCATAATCTGTAATTAAAGCAATTATGGCTGTTGCTGGCTCTGTGTCTCTGCTACCTGCAAATATAGTTGGGCGGTTCTACAATCGAGACTTGTTTAGCGAGAACAATAAAAACAAAACATTACCACTTAACCAAGTTTCCTTCCCTTTCTTTGCTACTTCCGAATACTCCTCATGACCAAAGCGGTTAAAGGGAAGAGCAAAATTGTGATTGCGCGGAACACCAGTTACATTGTGATTACATGCAAGATGGTGTTTGAGCAAAAAAATACATCGAGCCACGTCGATGCACCTTTGGGTGGTGTAGCCTCTATGGCAAACAAGTAGCAATAAACCCCGTCCTACTGTCAACGATGCAAATGCCGTCCAAGTATTTTGTCATCCCCTTAAAATGCAGAGGAGCTTTTAGGCTATAAAACTGCAGTGCTAGAAAATTACAAATGCCAAAATTTTTAAGATTCTTGAGTTCTAAAACTGACTAACGATGTTATCCGCTACCACCTGACGTTATCAAACAGTGTTTACTGCAAGGTGAAGCCGTTTTCCTTCACCATCGTATATTCCCAATGATTTCCTGGACTCCCCTGCTGCAATAATGCATAGCGGTTTATGGTTGACAGTAAAGAAGATCAAGTGCCCCACCCGGAAATTGTCTGAAGTGAATGGCTGCAAGTCCAAATAATTGTGAGTGAGAAAAGACGGTACTGCGCAGCATTATTGGAACATGGTTTCGCATGTTGAAACCTGAACTCTTGAGCAGCCTAAAACTGTTTGTTTGAGAATGCATTTACCATCGAGGGTGTGGTTGTCAAGTTCGGAGTTCAGATCTCCGTTTATCCGTTTAATCCTTCATTACTTACAGAATTGCCTTTTGACCAATTTTGGAAATCCTTTCTTTCATAAGATGCTTAAATGCGAAGAAAGCACTCCTGACTCAACGCAACGCAACTTTTCTCACTCACTTTCTTACGCGAAAGTGAAATGATCTTACATATTGCTTGTTTATTTACACACATTTCCTACTGGCTGCTGGCACGTTGTTTTGATGGCAAAAATGAAGCACAGGCATTACAACAAACGCTCCTGTTTAGTTGGCTACCGGAACAAGCATAAAATTGGTGTAGACATCGTTCGTGCTTACAACACTAGTAGGAATCTCGTGGGTAAAACGCACCAAAGATAAACAGTCATAGTGGATTTATAACAAGGCTAAGGTATGTTTGCAGCTAAAACCATTCCAATGCGAAGCATGTGCTTTTTTGTTGCCTAGGCTTAATGGCAAAAAAGGTCTTCAGTCTGATTTTCTTGCCAAAACATCGACTTGTTGACATTTGAAATAGCTTAGGAAACGGTGTGATGCATTTTTTGAGGGTACAATAGGTCACTCTGCAATTCTAGGGTAAATAAATGTCGAGAACTGGTGCAATTGGCCTCCTCATCGAAGTGATAATGAGTTCAAACATGTCTAGTGCTTTTTCCTTCTCGTCCTCTGACCTTAAGTTAAAGGGTGTTGGTGGAAGTGGTTGAGGTGATTGAATAGCACCCAACTGGATAGAATGAGCACAATATCGACGCCAGCAAGAGGCTGATGAGAATCCATCGTTCGCGGCTACCTCCGACTTCTGAAGAATGCTAATATTGAGCTTGGACGTAAAAATGGATGCAACAAGTCATCCCACACATAACCTTTTCAACAAACATCACTCTTTAAGCCAAACTTAGCACGCGGCATTGTCTGAGAATACCGCATAACACAACCATTAAGTAAATAGCCGATTCCTTAACGAAGCCCTGTTGGGTACTTTACAATACAAGGAAACACGTCAGCATCTTGTAGTTTCTTCACTTTTTTAGATCATATGAAAGGGAAGGTCGATCGAATCATGTTATGAATAAATACATTTAGCACTTATGTCAAAAGCATGAGAGGCATCTATGGTTCTGCTGCAGTGCTGTGGCAAGCATCAACTTCTCCACTGCTATTCGCAGTACTTTTACTTAAAACTTTGACATACTTAATCATAACGTTTGCTTAAAATTACTAGCCTACAAGTGGCCGATACAACACTTACACAAAGGTAGCTTTCATTTGGCTGGAGTGGGTGTCTTTTGTTAATTTCGATAAAACA